ACCATGGCTTGGGTCAAGCATGCCTTAGTCCTCAAGGTAACATCCTTGATTTTCATGACTCTAAAGAGGTCTTGTGCACCATCAGCATGGAGCTATTTAAAGGTACTCAACATTTTGAAGACCTACACAAGCAACTGGGAAAGTGGGAGATAGTCTTGAGTGGTCAATTTAGTGTTCCTTGACCTCTGGACCTGGGTTTAAACAGCAAATATCTTTCTGCTGTGCATAGGGACGCTATGAGTAGGAACTGCATCAATGGTACCTAACAACATCAACAGAAACAACATGCTCAATCAGACACAGTTTCCAATACTTTATGTTCTTTTGTAAAAAGTTGTCTTAAAAGTCAAGGACACAATAGATTTAATTCCACTGATCTGCACCTGCCACATTAGAATGGCACAAATGAGCATGGGATTCTTCAGTGCTGGTCAGTGAACATGCAGAACATTGAACATACATGGCATTTGATCTGTGTCCTTCCTGGATATGTTTTGTCAAGCTGATAAGAATAAACCCAGACGGCCAGGAAAGAGGACTGACAGACCCACGTGTGGGGTTTCTGCATCCTCTTACAGATTAGATTATAAAATAAGAAACTAAATATGGCAAACTGACTGGAAACGTTGTCGATGTCGAATTTTCTGGTGTGTGTGTGTATGTGTAACTCATTACAAAATGGAGCAAACAAATCATGAGATGCTTGCTGTCTTGGATTTGAAGTTGATTCAGTTTGATTCTGGATCAACCCTTTCAGTAGTAGCATTTCTGATCACCATGGAGGCAAATAGCAGCATCTCTGATCACCAAAGAAGGTCCATCTTTAACAAGAGTTGAGAGAGCATTTTGCTGATAATTAACAGTCCTGTATTTCTTAAAGTTGTACCTTAACATACTACAATTTTACAAATAAATTGCTTACAATAGTCTATCACATTTACTAATGATTAAAATAACTCTCTCTTCTCTCCTTAAATCCTACACTAGTAAACTTGCAGGACCAATAGTTGAAGCAATCAAGTAGCAAAACACAACAAAGAAATCCCACCCTGTCTTGCTGATTCTATCATCGCCCAATGGTTAACTCTGTTGATTTCAGAGTCAAAGAGAACAAGTGGAATGTAAAAGGTAGCAATCAATGTTTGGATATTTTTTAGATTATATAAACTGGAGAAGAGTGAGTTCTACTTTATAAGTGTTCAATACCTAAACAATTATGCTCTTACAAAAGCAGATAATGATATTAGAAGGATCTCTTTAAGCTCTCCTATTTTTGGGTGGCTTAAATATTTATATACATTGGTATTTTTCTTATATAGGAAAATTACTTTTATAGATTAGCTCATTGATAATAAATACAAAACAGTAACCATAGAAATCTCCAGTTAATTGCTAAACTTAATTATTAAATTTTTCCCCAAAGGATCACTTGTGAGAAAATAATAAACCTTCAGAAATCTAATTGCATTTGATAAAAATATGAGTTTAGTTGGTATATTAAATATAAATATTGCAAGATTTATACATAAACATAATATAAATATGAATTTATACATATAGATAATATACATTAATTTTATATATATGTGTTCCTGCAAACAGGGATATTTCTCTGGAAATGTTTGCTCTCAAAATAACAATGAACAAGGGATAACTGACACTGGATTTGTGGGAATTACTATATTAATAGTTACATGTTAATAGTTATAATACTTATATAAAATATAAATAAATTTGTATAAAATATAAATGTAAGAAACAGAATTTATATATAAACATAAATTATATAAGATCATGAAGTTATAAATTTATAAATACAATATATTATACAAATTATGAAATTATATGTAAATATAAATTTGATCTATTATTACTTTAACAACTTTAATCTAAAAACAATCATCTCATCTCCTTTGTTGTCTAAATCTTATCTTTGTTGTTTTTGTTGTCTTAATCTTCTCCATAAAGTAGCATCTGCTACTTAGGATCAGACACACTGTAGATGCTGAGTGGTATTGCTAATAAAAAGAAAAGAATTCTCCTCAAAAGACCAGAGCCTGTAGAGACAGCAAAGAGTAACAGAAAAGAAATACATACAAGGGAATGGTGTAATACAAAACAATCCCTCTATAAAGAACACTTAGGAGAATATTAAATCTAGTTTCCCAATGAAGAGCCAGGAGAAAGGAATTAGCCGTCACATTTAGGGCCAGAGAAACTTGGCACTGAATGGACGGATCACTTAAGGGCAAGAATCATCGACTTCACTTCTTACTTGCGCATACTCTGTCCTGATAGACCTGCCACTCCCGTGATAAATGTACACAGCACCGCCGTGGTCGTCTTCCAGCGGGGCTCCAATCACGACGTCATTAAACCCATCCAGGTTGAGGTCTTTCACGGCCGCAATGGCGGTTCCAAAGCGAGCCCCGCACGGCTCGTTTCTGTTCTCCTTTGTGCATGAATCGTGCTTCAGCGACGAGCAGCAGGTCTGCTTTAGAGGCTCCAGGCTCATTTGATATTCAAACCTTGTCTGTAAGAAAAATAAACCAGATGCTTACGGATTTATATCATTCCTACAGCAGAGTAGATTTTTTTAAGTGCATACTAAATCAGAGCTCTTAAGAAACATTTGCTACCTGACTCAATGGAAAAAGTTGCACAATTCCTTCAAAGAATGCCTGTCTGAGAGTGAAGGTCGGGGTTTCGAAGACCAGAGAGTAGAGGTGAGGGAGAGAAGACAGTAGGAGGCATTCGATAGATTCGTTATTAATGCATTTGAGGTGGTTATATAATTCACAGCATCTTGTTAAGACCGAAGAACTGAACATTTTGATCCTTAACCCATGAGGCTGTCTTTTCTCCATTCAATTTCGTGCTGTTTTGAAACATCTCTGCTATAGACATATATTCACGATAGGCTTTGGGGTGAATTGCGTTCTGCTATGAAAAGAAGACTCTCTCTGAAGCTGTCTCCAGTGTAGTTGGAGTGAGGAGTCAAGGAGATAACGTGTAGGGGGGTTTCAAACAGCTCATCAAAAGGAGAATTAAAATATTTCCCCACACACTTTGGAAGTTCCCTTATACTTGTGAAAGACAGACGTGAGCATATTTTCATGAAAAAAAAGAAAGAAAAGAGCTACCAAGTTGACCTACCGTTGCCCGATTCAGGGCGTACACATACACCTTTCCTTGTTCCTCTTTCTCTGTCCCCATGTACATGGGCGCCCCAACCAGGAGGATGTCAGTATTTGAGTCTTTATCAATATCAATTGTTGTTAAGACACTTCCAAAGTAAGAACCAATCTAGGACAAACACAAAGCAGTCAATGAGCAGACATTCCCAAGGGAGCACACATCTGCATTTCTCTTCTTTATGCCAATCTAGGAAAATCCTTGAGCTAAAATTAGTAAGGAAAAGAATCTCTAGAAATGGATATGACCTAGTACAAGGAAGAAGAAATGTCCTAGAATTGATTGTGGTGATGATTACATAACTCTTTCTACCTATGACAGAATTACTGAAATGTATGCCGTGTGAATATATGTCAATAAAACTGTTAAAAAAGAAATGGATATGACCCGAGAATTCTTTATTGGCTTTTGCAGAAGATGGATTCACCTATGACAGAATTACTAAAATGTATGCCATGTGAATATATGTCAATAAAACTGTTAAAAAAGAAATGGATATGACCCGAGGGTTCTCTACTGGCTTTTGGAGGAGATGGATTCATATTAGTCAGTCTCTGCTTGCCAAAGAATGGCTGCACAATTTCATTCTAGCCTGGCCTTCTTTTCCACAAAGGCAAAAACAAAACAACAAAAAAAACCCAACAACCACAAAACAATGTAAGTGTAGCGATTTTTAAAAAAAAATTAACAATAGGAATGGCATTTTGTATGTTTAAACACAATCATAAAAATGTGAAAAAATATGGTATCAGGAGATGAATTGTCCTGGATTATTAGTGTGAACGTTTCCACTGTATAACCTTAGAAGGTTGTCTACTCAACAAGATGGTAAGCGCCGTCCCAGCATCTATGGGTGATAGATATACTTAAAAAGATAGCACTATGTACAGAAGGTTGGGAGGGGCCATCTCCTTTAAGCCATATGTCTTGTCTTTTAACACAGGAATATGTGTTAGAGATATGTAAAGATATATTTCATTATGTAAATGTGACAACTTTTTCAATTATTGACCTAGACTTGATATTTGATACTCTTTTCTTTTTTTCTGGTAAAAAATAGCTTTATTTGTCAGCAACGCTTCTTCCGAATGTGTTAACAAATAAGGAATACACAAAAAGGATACTGAAGACAGACTTAATAAAATGCCTCTATCCAAGTTGGGGGTGGGGGTGGGGGGAGAGGGATGTCACAGGTAGAGTTGGCGGAAAAGGGGGCTCAGAGGTTAGTTCTGCCCTGTGGCTGGAGACCCCCTTTCCTCGTTACTTTCTCATTAGCCAGGGATTGCACAGAGCTGGCCCGTGTTAATACAGTAGCACCCAGGGTTCCTGTCACTGGGGTGTCCCGGGGTGGGGTGCCCTGAGGGAGCACTGGCAGAGGTTGGGAGAAGGCCACCGTGGTCGAAGGACTCTGAGGACTGTCCTGCTCAGGACACCTTCGCTGGGGTGTCCTCAGATGGCAATTTGATACTCTTAATGGAACCTCCTGCTGTGCCTCTATGATTCTATTTTTGTTTTCCTGATTCTGCCCTGTATAGTGAGATGATTTTATGTCAACGTGAAGATGGATCTACGTGGAGGGGTGGAATCCAACCTGTGAAGCAGGTCACAGTCTGAGGATGCCTCCTGTGTGTGTGGGGGGGCGTGGGGCGGGGGGCGTGGCCTTCTTATGACTGGGACAAACTGGGAACTTCTTTTCCTGTTTGTTGGAACTCTGTCAATGACTCTGCCCCTGTCCTTGGATCCACAAGACTTTGCACTCACCAGCCTGTGAGCTTCCTGCATTCTGTGTTATTGCATAGACTGCGTGAGTATGAAGAGAGACTTATGGACTAGTATCAGAATTTTGGACTCGAGTTGGACTGGGCTGAGATGCCTTCTTGAAATAGAATTACTTCTTGATGTAAAGCTCTTTCTCATATATATAGATGAATATCACTGGACTTGTTTCTCTAGTCCACTCTGTCTCTCCATCTTGGCTGGCCTCTTTTCCTTTGCCCACTTCCCCATTTTGGCCTCGGCCAAGACTCAGACCCACACTTGTGCTTCCATTCTTTCACTAGCTGACCGATTCTTGCTAAGCATTTCTACTCGCTGAAATTACATATTTCATTCTACGTTCTTTCTCAGCGTGTCAGCTCTACCTTTCTAACCAATTGTTTTATGTTGAAATTTAAAAGTAGATTTTATTGTTTAGAGAAGTTTTAGGTTTACAGAAATATACAAGTGTACAGAGTGTTCAATAGTCCCCTGCCCATTGTACATTGTCTCTATGCTTTTTATGGTACATTTATTAAGATTGACAAACTAATATCGATGCATTATCATTCACTAACCACCATGTGTCTGTCAGTTTGTCACACTGTGATGACGTGTGTGTTGCTGTGATGCAGAAAGCCATGTCACTGGTATTTCAAATTACCAGTAGAACCACACAACATGAACAGGTTTCACCAGAGCTTCCAGACTAAGAACGGGTTACAAAGATGGAACAGTCTGTTTACAGCAAAGGTAGTTTATCAACAACAGAAAAAGTGACCATCTACATGGACTTCTCCAGATAGAATACACAAAAATAAAATTGACTGCATTTGTGGGAAGAAGTCTTTGAGAATCAAATATGACCTAGACTTTATCCCATCTGAATTTTGAAAATATCTCAAAAACAGAGTTGCTGCACGGAACACTAATGACAGAGATCTGATAAGCTGTGGGATGAAATTTTATTAAAAAATTTCATAGAGAAGGTCATTAAGGTCATAAAAATGTCAGGAAGGAAAGAAAGATCAAAGTGGATGTTAGAAGAGACCCTGAACTTGCTATTAATCCTACAGTAGCTAAGGCAAATGGACAAAGTAATGACGTCAAAGAGCTGAACAAAAAG